CAGGGGCTGCATGGGGGGGGGAGGGAGGGGAGCTCTGCCACATGTTCCCAGAGGTCCACTTCCAGGTCTGCTGAGCACGCTGGGGAGCTCCCCGTGCTTCTGTGGGACACTCCATGCAGCGCAGCACTCATGAGCCCCTGCTACCTAGAGTTTTTTAGAAAAAACATTTAAAGCTGTGTCTATGTCTGAATCTCCGAATCTCTCCAAATCGATTCAGAGGGTTCTGATTCAATTCAGAGAGATTAAAGGGTCCTCTGATTCTATTTGGATTTGGAGTTTTGGCCACCAAATCGGGCCGAATCTCCATCAAATCGAATCAGGGACCGAAGCTTCGCACAGCCCTACAGTAAAGCATCTCATGTAGACACACCCTCTGTGTCTTACCCTATCTGTATGGGGTGCTGTGAGGGTTAACACTGATTCTACTGTACCAGGGACAAGATAAGTGCCTGTGCCAGAATGGATGTTCTCTCACTGAAATCAGGTAAGGTTAAAATACAGTCCTGGACCCATGGAGCAAAAACCATGTTGGGACAGCACCTAGGATACACGGAACTGATGTTGACTGAGACCGTGGTTCAATAGTTTTTCTCTGTAGGGGCTGTCCTTTTTGGAAAGAGACAGTCTGCCTTTAGGTTCATTACTGTTTCTGTGGGGCAGGCAAGTCCAGCCCTGCTGCTTAAAACTAGTGGGAAAATGAAGAAAAAAAAAGAAGCTATTATCATAAATATGTTTGAAATGTCAAGGTGTTTTTTCCAGTCTGTGGGAGAGGGATAAAATGGATACAATTGCTGTTTTTCATTTTTGCATTAACCTTTTTATCCAAATTATTACTGAAAGGATTATTGAAATAGATTATTTTCTCACTAATGGGTTTTTGGCAAATGAAAAGTTTCCCTGATGACTTCAAAAAATGTTGTCAAAGAAGCCACAAGAAACATTGCAAAAAATGGAACACATCATTAATGTTGACAGCCTGTCCCCAGAGAATTGGTAGAAAGTCAGTGTTTCATGAAAAAGCATTTTGTTGTAAAAATTTCAGCTAGGTTTGCTCCTGATCCAGGCTGAGGAGGGGCAGAGGAGCCTTCAGAGGGAATGCTGTGCATCAAGTATCTATGTTTAGGACAGCCTGGGCATAGGGCATTTTGTACACCAAGTGCTTGTGCATTGCACATCCTCACAGTGGGGATGGGACAGATAAACATGCTTCACACTTGTCTAGTATCATCCATGAGAAGATCATAACATGCTTCACAAATGGTAGTCAGAATAGATAAAAGGGCGAATATAGGAATGAATGGATAGATGGATGGATGGGGTTCTATGGGGACAGACAGAGAAGTAGGTAGGTAGATACCATGTTCTTCACCCTGGGCGTATCCCCATTTTATAAGATTGGGAGGTAGAGAAGGACCCACCCTGAGAGATACAAGCTTTGACCACTGATGGAGACATTCCCCTAACACAGGGAAGGGCAAAATGCAGCCCATGGGCCGGATGCGGCCCGCCAGGCCATTCTATCTGGCCCATGGGGCCCCTAAAAAATTTAGAAAAGTAATATATATCTGCCCCTGGCTGCCTGTCATGCCGCCCTCGATGGCTTGCTGAAACTCAGTAAGCGGCCCTCCGCCTGAAATAATTGCCCGCCCCTGCCCTACCATTAGCTTCCTGAGGCTGTGATGCCAATGCCAACAACTAGTAGCCATGAGACTGGAGTGCCCAAATCTGTGGGGATGGAGGTGGGTCTCCTCCCTAGGGCAATGAGTGGCTAGGGCAGGGGGCCTAATAGCTCTCTGCTCACTCATTAGAAACTGCCAATTTCCTGTGGGAGAGTAACAGGGCTCTTTCCCTTAAAGGTGTCCCTTTGCTCACGGTGAGTGTGTGGATCGCTACCCGGCTGCAGTATGACAACAATGGGTAAGTGTCTCCCTTTTATGGCTAGTCTGAACCAGGGAAGTTCCAAGTGAACACAGGGCCTTGGGGATTCAGGTAGTCCAGGATGAGCACCACAAAACTCCTGAGGACGGAGACCTATGTCAACACCCCTCCACCCCCACTGCTTGGGGGACACAACCAAAGGCTGTAACTTGGCAAAGAAAAGCCTCTTGTCATGAGGGCACACAGGCACTTGCTGAAATGCACTGGGCCAGATTCCCATTCACACAAGGGTCACAAGAAGGGGTGAAACGTGCAAGTGAATGTAAGTGCCTGAGCAGTGTAAACAGGTTGCTGGGATCTGGAGAATCCAGCTGTGCATCTCTCCTGACTGCAAAACAGGTATGACACTGGTTTGCATTGCTAGGAAGCTGGGTGGAGGAGGTATGATTTACTATTTTCTCAATAATTTGAGAATAGGGGATGCTTGAGAAGGGCTAAGGAGTGCTGATAATGGCCAGGGCTCCCTGACAGGTCAGCAGTGGCCTTTCCCTGTGGACTGAGCTGCCTTTCTCTATGACAGCCTCTGGTTCTACAAGGGAAGACTAGCAGTGTAACTTCCAGGGTGGTAGATATGTGCCCATCATGCCCATTGCCCAATCCGCCTGCCAATCTAGGCCACATTCAGTCACCAGTCCACAGAAATTCTGCCCAGATACATGTTCTTCCCCTGATTGTTCAGGCCTTTCCTTCCCCCTGCTCTACAATTTAGAGAGCACCCATCACACATTTCATTTCCTTGTACCTTCAATCTCCCTTCTGCCTGGGACTGGATTACCAGGGACCTTTTCAAATGTCACCAACCCCAACCTTGAAACATGGAGTCTAAGGCTGTTTAAAAAAAATCTATAAGATTGTCCCCAAATCATGACATTTTGTTTAAAGGAAATATAATACCTGGCAGTTTTTGGTCTCTACTGTGACTTTTAAGCCCTCTGCACTCCTAGACCCATTTTGCATATGGATGCCAGCTCTCATAAAATGGTCAAGAGAGAGACAACTTTGGTTCGCTTCTGCTAGAGAGTTCAATCTCTCATTATTGAAGGTAACTAAGATTGGGATCCCATTGGATTAGGCACTGTGTGCACATGCATATGCACACTCATATGTTTGCACACACACACAAACACAGACGTGTTCCCCGAGAGCTTATAGTCTTGTGCAAAGCACGGTGAGGTGTTTGCAGCCTGTGAGCTGGGATGGAAAATCCACCAAGCTCAGCTCATACAGGTGCCATGAAACAGCCATCAGATGGGAACCACTGTTAATTCCTCCTGTGCTTGGCTGGATTCAGACAGGACCCTGACAGGAAAGGCTCAGTAGCAATGCTGGAGGGACCCAGTCCCATATGAGAACTAACATTGCCATTCTGCTTTGTGACTGGGTGAAGGTAGAGTGGTTCATGACAGCTCCCCATGTGAGCGGGGACCCACATGTGGATGAATCCATACAAGTTGGCAACACTGCTGTGGTGACTCCTGCTCTCTCCTAGGTGCTGGGATGATTATGCCAGTCTGTACTGGTGGGTGATCAAGGGACCCATTCTCTTTGCCATATTTGTGAGTATGCTGTACTGTATTTTATTTTGTAGCAGCATGGGTGGCACAGCAAGTAGAGTGAGGACAGCAGGACAGAGACCCACTCTGAGTCCTTCAGTTCTTCAGAGGGGGCTGGGTTTGAAGGGCTCTGACCCTGGCAGGGGACATAGGGGAGGCTACTGTGTGGGATGGTGCATGACATTGACTTGTCAGAAGTTGAGACATTTTTTAATTTCCCTTCTGAAGGTGAACTTCCTCATATTCCTGAATGTGATCAGAATGCTAGTGCAGAAGATTCGGTCCCCCGACATTGGCAAGAACTACAAGCAACAGTATATGTGAGTAAAGGGTCAATTCCTCCTGCCCTAGTGCTGTGGTCTCCTTTTGTGCAGGCTGGTTAAACACATCTTGACTCAGTCAGGTTCATGTCTTAGGGGCCTAAGGAAGTGTCATTACTTCCCATGCTGAAGACAAGAGCTGGTTGTGCTTTTCTGCTGTAAATTCATTGAAACCAGAACTCTTCACAGAAACCTTCATAGGTTTTGGTGGTGCTGTGCCTGGGAAGGTTTCTGGAGTCTAGCATGGAATTTCTCTACAAAACCAGATGTATTGAGAGGCTTCAGACTAGCCAATGGGTTGGTACTTGGGGCACTCATCAGGGATGTGGAAGACACATGTTCCAGGCTCTGCTCTGAATCAAGAAGAGCAAAGGGCTTGAACCTTGGTTTTTCAAGCACATGTGAATAATATTCTGAGCACAGAGCTATAGAATCCGTCTCTGTCACCAATGACAAGCTAATTATTCATGGGAAGTGGAACATCTCCACCAGGAGAGCAGGAGAGGGAGTTTGGGTCCACCACCCACTAGCTAGAGATCTTGTTTGGGACGTAGGAGACCAGGTTCAAGTCCATGCCCAGAATCAGGCAGAGCACTGACATGAAAATTAGTCTGTTTCCCAGGTGAGTGCTGTAACCACAAGACTATCAGCCAGCTTGGCATGTGTTCTCTTTCACAGAATATTTCAAATCTGGTTTTTGTTGCAATGTGGGATGAAAAGAAAGGTTGAAACCTCAAAATGCTTGTAGCAGGAGGCTTGGTGCTCTTGCTGCTTTAAGGGATGCATCCTGCAGATATGGCAGGGGGGCAATTAGGAGCCACGTGACCAAAAGTGGCTGAGTCAGCAGAATCTGAGCCCAGGGCTTGAGCTGAGCAGGCAATCTAGCCCTGAGAGCTGTGGAGGGAATTGTTTCTGAGCAGCAAGGCTGCAATAAGGCTCCTGATTAATATCTGAGCTGGGGTAAGCAAGACTGGCGGTTTAGGGACTGAGAGTGTAGGCTCAATGGAGGGCTCAACTCGCATGGGAGTGGGGCCAGGGCCCGAGGGATAGGGGCCAAGGCCAAGGAGCAGGGCCACAGCCAGGGTTGGGGACCTATAGCCTCCTCAGGTCTTAACTGGCTTAGGAAGCAGGGCCAGAGCCCAGGCAGAGAGGTCAAATGCCAAGGAGGGACCCACAGCCCAGAGGAGGGTACAGACAGGGCCAGGGACCCAGTGCCTCTGAGAGGTGGAAACAGGGTCAGGGACCCAGGGCTGGAAGTAACCAAAATGGGCAAAGTGCCCAGGCATGGGTGGAAGGAGGCAGAGGCCTGAGCCCAGGAAGGATAGAGGAGAATGCAGGCCTGAACTAGGGAGGCTTGGATGTAGTGAGAAGGGGAGATGAGGAAGCCATGTAATTATCCCTTAAAGTGATGAATAAGGGTACCTTTACTCATGGGCATGAGATCTAGCTTGGGGAGTCCTTGAGCAGCCTCCCTTTTCAAAAAGGGAGTGGCAGGTGAGTTGGCAGAGAGATGACCCCAAAGAGAGCAGAGGTGACAAGGGCTAAGGGGGCTCCAGAGGCTTTGTGGCCACCCCTGGGGAGGACCCTGTTACAATGTCCCACAGATTGGACTGGCATGGCCAGGTCTCCACAATCAAGCCTGATCCCATAGGCTAGTATGTCCCTAGGACAGTGGCTTTTTGTCATGCTTGTGTACGATCCAGGCATCCCAAAGTTTGCAGAAGAGTTGAGCTTGTGCAGTCTCTTCTCCCATGAAATGCAGACTGTATCACCAGTGCCTCAGCTTGGGTAAATCATTATCGATTGCAGTGGAGCTGTACTAAACTATACCTCAGGCCCAGTCATTTCGACCAAAACATAAAGTACTCTGTAGTCATGACTCAAGAAAGGTGCTATCCTAACACTAGGGTTTTATGCCAGGGCTAGGGCTGATTAACTCAGAGAATCAAGAGCTGTAGCTCATCATCCTCTCCCACCAGTAAATCGCCAGTGCTAAGGGGATCATGGGCACAGCAGAGACTTTAGAGTAAGGTCTAAATGCACTTCCCAAAGTGCCATCTTAAGGATGGTTAAAGTCACTGCACATCAGGAGCTCCAAGATGAATGTTCTCACAATGGTCCTTGCCCAGGTCCAGGGCTCAGCTTGTATATTTTATGTGATACTGTACTTCCAACAGGAGTAGATGTATGTGTGTGTGACACAGGCTTAACGCTATTGCTGGGATTTTAACTCTTCATAGTTTCATAGTTTCTAGGGTCAGAAGGGACCTGAGAAGATCATCTAGTCCGACCCCCTGCCATGGCAGAAAAGAGTACTGGGGTTAAACGACCCCAGCAAGGTGTTCATCTAACCTCTTCTTAAAAACCCCCAGGGTAGGAGCCTGCACCACCTCCCTTGGAAGTTGGTTCCAGACCCTAGCCGCCCTGACCGTGAAATAGC